GTCATTCCTACGCAAGGCGTTATAAATGAGGCCCCTGGACTCAAACCTGACATTGTGTCCAACTTCCGGCCCATCTCAAATCTCCCCTTTCTGTCAAAAATACTTGAACGTGTCATTGCCTCACAACTAAAATCCCACCTCAGCTCCAATGACCTCTTTGAGCCATTTCAATCCGGTCTCCAATCAACACAGCACCGAAACAGCTCTTCTCAAAATCACAAACGACCTCCTCCTTTCCTCTGACTCCGGCAACCTGAACTTCCTCATCCTCCTCGACCTCACCGCAGCATTCGACACCGTCAACCACACCATCCTGCTGTCCCTCCTCGAATCATCACTCAACATCACCGACACTGCACTCTCCTGGCTGAAATCCTACCTCACCGACAGACATCAGTTTATCAACATCAATAACTGCACCTCCTCCACTGCTCCTCTGTCCCAAGGCGTCCCCCAGGGTTCGGTGCTTGGCCCCCTCCTCTTCATCCTTTACATGCTCCCCCTTGGCAAAATCATTCGTCGCCACAACCTTCAATTTCACTGCTACACCGACGATGACATCCAACTTTATATCTCAACAAAAACCATCACCCCCACAACACACTAGTGTTGCACGGTGTACCGATACTTGAAAGGTACCGCGATACCCTGCATTTAAAAACGTTACGATTCCTCCGTTTCATTAGTATCGGTACTTTAAGAATGACGGGGAAAAGTACTCCGGTGAGAAAGCGCTGTTTTAATAAGAGCCGTGTGTGTTCAGCGCTCTGCTTCCACTCCCTGCACTGCAGCCGTGCCTGCAGTCCCTCCCCTCTCAAGCACGCTCTAAGTGCCTCCCCTCTCTCGTGCACACGCTAGCTGCCAGAGCATGTGAGAAAACGAGAAGCATGGCTGCAAGTGGGAGTGCAACTGCCGCTGCGCCTCGGCTTGTTGACAAAAAAGACGCCAGAAGCGAAATTTGGAAGTATTTGAGCTATATCTCTGACAGTGAGGGCAAGCTTACGGACACCACGAGGCCTGTCTGTAAGAAATGTTTTAGATCCCTGCAAACCAAGGGAGCCAACACATCAAACTTGGCTAAGCACCTCGCCGACCGGCATCCAGAGCTGTTTAAAGACAGACAGGTTAGCGAATGTGATAGATAACATAATTACATCATGCTCAAGCCCATGCCCTCAAATCTAAGTCAAACAAGTATAATTTATTTTGTGACAAACTAACGTTTTCGTAGTTTGACGAGGCAATTAATGGCAATGATAACTGTCCATCACTCTCCTCCTCTGCTGCTGAAACCCTGATTCATGCATTTATCACATCACCACTCGACTACTGCAATAGCATCCTACGGCATACCATCCAACCTCCTCAATAAACTCCAACATATCCAGAACTCTGCAGTTGTATTTTCTGAATATTTGAGAGTCTCCTTACACAATGGGGACACATATTTATGTATAAAAGACATAAAAAAGTGCATTTTGCATACTAGGTCCCCTTTAAGTAAAAGTACTTAAAAGTATTCTCAGAAACATGTACAGCACCTTCTTATGTAAAAGTAATGATACTGCAATAAGAAGTTCCCTGTCAGTGTTTGATTTATGATGTTTCTTGATTATTGTCAGTGTCGCATTTTACTGCTGTCCATGTTTAAGGTTGCACTTCTATAAATGATGATAGAAGAGGGAACCCAGCAATCTGAATACACCCAAAATGTAATCTTGTCTCAAGATGAACAAATAAATACATACATTTAACAATGAATTCATCATTAAAAAATACATTTATAATGGGGAACATTAAAAAACAAGAGAGATAAATAGTGGAACAATTGAAAAAGGAAACATTTATTATTTTATGAATTAAATATTTTCTACATTTATTTTTTATATTACTTTTTGGTCAATATAATTGCATGACAATTCCTTTATTAATCCCTTATATGTAATGTATTCACTTAAAGGGCCCATGTCATGCTTTTCCGGTTATTACTTGTGTGTTATGAAGGTTTTTATGCATGTAAACGGTGTGCAGAGTCAAAACCCTCAAAGTACACCCTGTAGCGAGTAAAACTCTAACACAGAAAATACCTCCCCAAAACGCCTCGTTGGAGATACGTCACTGCCCATTTGAGTCTTCCATTTAGTTCCGGGTACGGCATGATGTCATGCGGTACCCGGAACGAAATGGACCAATCCCGAAGAGCTATGGCCACACCCAGCGGCGCTGGCCGCACCCTCTGCCAGCCTAACATTTACTGTTGGAAGCTCTGGTTCAGTTCACAATCGATCCAGTCATGCCAATGCCAAGGACCTGTTTCCTGAAATGTGAGGAGAAATCTGAGCTGTTTGTCCTACCGACGGAAGAACCACGACGAAGTCAGTGGTTGAAATTTCTGTTTAACACTGTTCCTTCAGAAGTTCGAAGAACGTTACTGTGTGCGCGGCATTTCACAGAGGAAAGTTTCCAAAATAATTCCCAGTTTGAGGCCGGATATGCACAGCATTTGAAACTGAAGGACGATGCTATTCCTAGTTTGTTTGGACCGTTTGGAGCAGGGGAAGATTCGGGTACACAACCTGTAAGTTTGCATTGTTATTTGTGTATTTATCAAACAAGGTATCTACCACGACTGTTTAAATGTGTAAACGTGTGTCGGACTGCTAACGTTTCCATATATCAACTCTAATATCAGCAGATGGCCTTACATACATGTATCTCATAGCAGGAGAATGTCTGCATTCACACACGAAATACTCATAAGGCGCGTTCACACCAAGTACTTTTCCCACAGTAGTTCCTGAGAACTTTAGTTCATGAGAGTTCTTTTCGTTCTGACGAACTAAAGCAGATCGCGTTCACACCAAAATGAGTTCCTGGGGGTGGATTAGGCAAATTAGCCGCTGACGTCACTTCTTCTTCTTCTGCTTAGCTTTTCCTGGCAGGCCGCAAACAACTTCACGGCGAGTACAGTAGGTGGCGGTATGCACCTTAAAGTTGCAATCCGCCAAAAAACCGAGAGAAGAAGAAAAAAAACTTCCGCTTCCGCTGTATGCTTCTGTTTACCTTCCGACCTCAGTCAGACACGCTATGGAGTTGACTGAAGTTGTGGTTTTGGTGCTGAGTTATTTAAGCCAATAACTCAGCCACAAATACAGATCGCGGTTAAGAAGCCTTAACAAAAGGACTGGACGGCGACAAGCACACGCTATGGACATGTTTCGTCGTAGGACAGCTGAGGATGATGACCGAGCTAACCAACGGAGCTAGACATGGGTTTGCTCTGGAAAACACTTGACACAGTGCTTACTGGGCTAACGACGTTGCTAGCGTTTAAATATATCAACTACAATGTCAGCAGATGGCCTTACATGTTTGTCATGGCAGGAGAATGTCTGCATTCACACACGGAATACTCATACAATATACTCCGGGTGATTTACCGTACGGTCAGTACATTACAGTTGAATAGCTAACGAGGCTATTCATGCCAGTTACAATGAATGACCGAACGTAGCAGACTACCCGTATAAGATTGCAATTATAAACACGTTATTGCTAGCCTAATATGAACCACTAGCTTTTGTTCATAGTAGTTTTATTACACTACATTATAGTTGCCGTAACTCCGAGCTACCGTTCATATCGTGTTTGCTACCAAGGTAAACAAGAAAGCTAGGTTAGCATATTATTCATGCAAGTTACAATGAATGACCGAACGTAGCAGACTACCCGTATAAGATTGCAATTATAAACACGTTATTGCTAGGCTAATATGAACCACTAGCTTTTGTTCATAGTAGTTTTATTACACTACATTATAGTTGCCGTAACTCCGAGCTACCGTTCATATCATGTTTGCTACCAAGGTAAACAAGAAAGCTAGGTTAGCATATTAGCTGGCAAGCTTACTGTGTTGATTAGATAGATCCACACTCCTACCACAACTACTACTAACGAATCTAAAACAACTAAGTTTCTCTAATATTTTGTGATTTGCATTTGATTTCGTCCAGCCAGATCAGGAAACTCCTGGTGTATCTGGCGGACAACACACACCCGGGATGACCCACTCTGATGCCTCGTCCTAAAAAGCCCCGGCAGCCGCTTACAAAGCTGCGATAGGCAAGATGCCGAAAACGCCTATTAGGGGAGGAATGGATGATATACAGTGTATATATGTATATTTACGCATGTTCATTTTATACATTTCTAAAAATAAAGTTTGATGGAAATACTTAGTAGGCCTATCCTTTCTTCCCTGAATTATTTGCTCCTATAACATATCATTCATATATAGCAAACCATGATTTGATTTCTCATCAAACAGTAGTAGTTCATTACAGGTAAAAATAACTTACTCTTCTATAACAACAGTTGTAGGTACAGTTCGGTTAGTTAGCGTATAAAATATACGGCTGTACCGACGCCATTATAAGACTGTTCCGCTGAGAGCGAGCCGAAAAAAGCACTGTTAGACATGGGCGGAGCCTCTCTGGTGGTTGACTAATCAGAACAGAGTGGCCGAGCTGACCAATCGGAGCACACTAGGCTCACAGGGAGGGGGGGGCAAGAGGTTTAGTGGAGAGAGTGAATACTGCTGAATACACATACTTTACAGAGATGCTGTATGCGAAACCAATGTGAGTTTGGAAAATTGCACAGTATAAATCTATTTTAGTTTACCTCAACAATGTAATTATGATCAGTGGAAATGGCCATGACATGGGCCCTTTAACACATGAACACTAGTGTGTAATATGGTTGTACATATATATTTAAGAAGTACAATATGAGAAAAGCACACGTTTCATTTGTGGGCCATATTTCATTATACTTTTTGAATTAGCTGAGGGCCGGCGCCCGGGCCGTAGTTTGGGCAATATTTCATTATACTTTTTTAATGAGCGGGCCGATTCAAAATGGCCAGGGGCATTTGGCCCCCGGGCCATAGTTTGGACACCCCTGGTTTAAAGTGTTAATTAAGAGTAAAGGGAACAGACCTGCTCTGTGTATCCGAAGCTGAGGCTGTAAAACAGCGTCCAGTAGTTTCTGGAGTTTCTCGTTCTCCTCTTTTGAACGATACAGCTCCTCCTCGTACTCGGCTATTGTTTTTTCAATAGCAAATATCTCTTCAGCAGTGAGTCGCTGCTTCTTCGACGACAGCAGCATTTGGACTTTACTCATGTTTACTAGATCACCTTATCCTGAAAACTCCGTCAAACACACTGTTTCTTTCTCTCCATCAAACTCTCAATCTGACTAGTGTTGCCAACGTGTTTCCAGCTAGCATGCTAAGCTAGCTCCTATAGTCCGAGGTAAACGCTCCAGAAAAAAAGAGTACACAGTCCATTCGGAGGTTTATCCAAACGCACAGATGATGGATCAGTAGTGCTGTAGCTCACACACACTTTATCAGGAACACAGAGAGAGAGAACCGTAGCGACGAGACGCCACCTGGACCAGTGTGACTATCCGATCTTCTTCTTCTTCTTCTCTCATATTTTGGCGGATTGCAAACAACTTAAAAGGTGCATACCGCCACCTACTGTACATGAGTATGAATCATCATATCATTCCATCTTTTATCCTATGATCTAATCAAAAAATCAATCAATCAATCAACAAAAAACATGAAATAAATAAAACAAAAATAAAAATCTATGATCTTTCCTGACCTAATGTTAAATTATTTTTCCTACCCCAGTTTCACTCAAGAAGGTAAACAGTGCCTTTCTGGTAGCTCTTACTCCCTCTCCTTTTGTTCCCAAAACACCAACCACACTCCATTCCCTCTCTGCCTCTAAAACTTTAGCCTTTAGTTTTTCTCTTTCAGCTTTATAGATGTCACAATGTAACAAATTATGTTCTAGATCTTCTTTAACTCCACAGTTCCCACACTTGTCACTGTCACGTTTCTCCATGACATACAGCGTACCATTCAAAGCTGTGTGATTTATTCTGAGTCTAGCTATCGTGATTTCCTCCCTTCTGTTTCTTTCTTTATAAATATTAATTGTAATTGTCTTTTGTACTTTGTGATAGTCTTTGCCTTTCTGGTCTTTCTCCCACCTTTTTTGCCAGATCTACATCCCTTTTTTCTTAATTACTGCTTTTCCTTCTCCTTTACCAAGTTGAACTGGTAATGTTATTTCCTTTTGTAATGCACTTTTTGCTAATTTATTTCCTTGACTCCTTGAATCCTCGATCCTCCGGTAGTGACCCGGAAATGAATTTCAGCGCGTCATGTTGAAGGACATCTAATTTCTCTAAATGCACATCGAGGACCGAGGATCGAGCGTCGAGGAGGCTCTCTGGAGGAGCTATAATCGAGGATACACTGATGGGTCCTCCACGGTCCTCCACGGTTCCTCTGTGGATGCATTTGAGATGTTTCAAAGAGTCGTGACGCACGGCCGGACTTATCTCAGCCAATGACAGCTCTGCATGCATCCCCTGGATATTATTTTATTAACTGCTTTCATCGCGACGCAATGTTTACAGTGAGAACAGCTGTGAGGTCCGTGCAGAAAGCAGAGCAGTGTGTATAATACATATCACTCAGTATAACAGGCCTACATTACTCTCTTTATTTGCTTTAGTTTAGTAGATATCTACAAACAAAGAGTCGATATTTATCTAAAACCATTTAGTGCTTCACATAATAAAATACACAACGGCTGTATCCTGATATATATTATATGCTTTAGGAGTTGTAGGTGCGTGTGGTACAGTGTGTGCGTAGATGCAGCGGACAAACAGGTCTCAGTTGGGTTGGTGTCCTCTGCTTACTTTTAATACTTGTAAATACAACTTTTGGCCCGTCATTTATTTTCCTCATTGTAGCGACCAGAGGGGGGGGGGGGATATATCCAATCTCTGATAGTGTTACGTTATTATGAGAGTGTTCTCATACTTGTTTGATTCTGAAATTGTATATATTTATATAAATATATATATATATGTGTGTGTGTGTGTGTGTGTGTGTGTGTGTGTGTGTGTGTGTGTGTGTGTGTGTGTGTGTGTGTGTGTCCGTCCGCATCTGTAGCCTGTTATTGTCTCATTATACCGAACTGTGAATGAATTCAAAGTAAATATATATAAGTCATCATGAACACATATTTCCATCAGACAGAGGGCTGCTGTGCCTCCTGTCATCATTAATGGACGTCTCTTTAATATGACCGCTCAGAGGAGAGGAGTTCTAATTTCTTTAACAGCCTGCTGCTTCCCCTCCTCTCTCCTCGACTCCCCTCCTCGGCTCCTCTGTTCGCATCTCCTGTGGGTGGGACTAAGACACAAGGATAGGAGTCGAGGAGGGGAATCTCACAAATGAGATACGGCCTAAGACTAGCTGGTCCATAGTAAAGGTCAGTCCACCTTAAATGAGCAGTGGGTGATCAGCAGGTGAAAGGCAGGACACGGGAACTTGGTCCTGAGGAGATGTAACGATTATTAAACAAGAAAGTTGTCGAGTCAAGGGGTCAAAGAAATGAACATTTGTGATTATTAGCGAATCGGTTGCAAGTGGGTGAAATCAGGCTTAGGGGGTAACTAAAACCAAAACTAAGGAGCTCATTGTTGATTTCAGGAGGACAAAAAAGGAAGTCCATCTCCCCCTCCACAACCATGGAGAAGCAGTGGAGAGCGTGGAGGACCTACGGTTCCTTGGAGTCAATATCTCCAATAATTTCACTTGGACCTCAAACCTGGTGAAAAAGGCACAGCAGAGACTGTTTTTCCTGAGGAAACTGAGACAGCAGGCTTCCACAAAAACTGCTGGTAAACTTCTATCGGTCGACTATTGAAAGCACCCTGACCAGCTGCATAACTGTGTGGTACACCAGCTGCACAGCCGCAGAGCGGAAGGACCTGCAACGGGTGGTGAAGGCTGCTCAGCGCATCGTTGGGACTGAGCTGCCCAACCTTAACAACATCTACAAAAGTCGACTGCAGAAGAAAGCCAGCAGTATCATCAGAGACATCACTAACTATTTATATTTAAACATTGTAGCTTTTCTTTATTAAATAATCTTTAAAAATGTATTTTAACATTCTGATAAAGTGCATTTAAGTGATGACCCTGATTATTACTACTATCTCTGCTTTATCACTGCTTTTATGGATGTGTTCTTATTTATGTACTGCAGTGAGAGAAGCCAACTGAATTTCGTTACACTGATGTGTGATGACAATAAAATATTCTATTATATTCTAACGTATTACATTAGGTCATCAGGATACAAAATAAGCAAATGTGTTCCATTACAGTTACAGAAGCAAAAACAATCAGATAACAGGTATATTTATGTAAAAGAGGGTTTATTAGCAGGATAGCAATGATACAAAACATTTAGATATAAAGAACAATACATCATATCATCCTATATCTGCATATGGAAACTTAGAGCCCTTAATCCACAATAAAATGGTTCATCAACAGTCAGTGGTTTAACATATTAATCAGAAAATCAGTATAACAAAAACATTAAACATATTGTCCACTTATGTTGATAAAGATGGAGTTCATGTAAGTCATATATGAATGTTGTGCAACAATGTTGATCCAGTCAGGCAAATTTTCTCATGTGTGAACTGTCATAAGAATTATTCATTGTCCTCTCCATCAGCTTCTGTTTCCATGTGTTCAGCTGAGCTGCTGATTGGAGGTTCTGCCTCTCAGTTATCCTCAGTTTGAATTTCATTAAGCTGTGAGGACTGACGACCAACACATTTGTGTTTATTGAAAATATTAGTTTATTACATCTTAAGAAGCCCTCAGACGCTGTTGCTTGCAGATGTTGTGGTTTCGGCCCCATCGGCGGGTCTGTGGGGCTTAAGAGGCTTTGAGGACTGACGACCAACACACTTGTGTCTTTTGAAACAATTACGCCATTTAAATCTTTTGTCACAAACATTGCAGCTGTATATTTCCTCTCCTGTGTGGACTCTCATGTGTGCCTTTAAACTTCCACTCCGTGAATAAGCTTTCTTACAGACTGAGCAGCTGTGTGGTTTCTCTCCTGTGTGGACTGTCATGTGTCTCTTTAAAACTATATGCTGTGAAAAAGCTTTCTTACAGACTGAGCAGCTGTGTGATTTCTCTCCTGTGTGGACTCTCATGTGTTCCTTTAAATGTCCACTCTGTGAAAAAGCTCTCTTACAGACGGAGCAGCTGTGTGGTTTCTCTCCTCTGTGGACTCTCATGTGTTTTTTTAAACTTCCACTCTGTGAATAAGCTTTCTTACAGACTGAGCAACTGTGTGGTTTCTCTCCTGTGTGGACTCTCATGTGTGCCTTTAAACTTCCACTCTGTGAATACGCTTTCTTACAGACTGAGCAGCTGTGTGGTTTCTCTCCTGTGTGGACTCTCATGTGTGCCTTTAAATTTCCACTCCGTGAATAAGCTTTCTTACAGACTGAGCAGTTGTGTGGTTTCTCTCCTGTGTGGACTGTCATGTGTCTCTTTAAAACTATATTCTGTGAAAAAGCTTTCTTACAGACTGAGCAGCTGTGTGGTTTCACTCCTGTGTGGACTCTCATGTGTTTTTTTAAATTTCCACTCTGTGAAAAAGCTTCCTTACAGACTGAGCATCTATATGGTTTCTCTCCTGTGTGGACTCTCATGTGTGCCTTTAAATTTCCACTCAGTGAAAAAGCTTTCTTACAGACTGAGCAGCTGAATGGTTTCTTTTCAGCACTACGTCGTGGATCACTGACAGATTCATGTCTATTTTTCAGTGAGTTTGAGCCTGATGCAGGTTCTCTGGTCTCCTTCCAATCAGCACTGTCTTCTGTGTCAGGTTCAGAAGAGTCTCCATTGTCGTCCTCAGTCTTTGGTTGTAAACTGCTCTCTGGATCTGAGTTCCTGGCTGGTTCTGGTCCTCGACAGTCATCTCCATCAGCTTCTGTTTCCATGTGTTCAGTTTGTCTTTGATGAGGCTGTGAGGACTGATGTTTCTCTTTATCATCTTCACTCTTCACAGGATCAGGAGTGAAAGTGGACTTGGTAATATCAGTCTCCTCCAGCTCCTGAAGCTGCTCTCCCTCCTGATTGATCCGGAGTTCCTCCTGTTCCTGCTTAATGTGTGGGGGGGGCTCTGGGTCCTCCTGGTCCAGACTGGTGCTCCACTCCTGCTGGTCAGGGAGAACCTCTTCTTTAACCACCACCAGCTGCTGGACGTCTGCAGGAAACAGGAAACACAGTCAGAAAAAACTGTTAAGTGTTAGCATTTAAAAATCTAATCACCATTAAAACGGGAGACATTTTTCAGCCCTAATAATGCCTTTGTTTTTATACTTTAATATTGTCTTTCTTAGTCCCACCTATTGTTTATTTTTGTTGGCTCAATTCACCTTAGCCCAGCCCCTTTCCACTTCCAGTTAAAAATGAAAAGGGGTTATTTCTTCTGGTTTAGAACTAGCTGCAATGTAAACAATAAATTGTATTTGGGATCGTTCACAGCTACACCACGCCTATAGAATGGCAATACTAAAAATATATTGTAGGGCCATACCTATACAAAACATGTCTGTGAAGTTCTTTGCTTAAAATACCAAACAGATCACCCATTGTAGCCATGCCTCAAACCCCTCTATTACAGCGCTGTTCCAAAAAGGCTGATTCTGTGACCGTAGCTTTAAATGGAACAGCTGCTGCTAGCCACGCCCCTTTGTAGCGTGCAGTTTACCCCTGCTAAGAGAGTTTTCTACCGGGAGAAACTCAGCCGTGATTAAATGCCATATTATGTTCCAAACCACTTCAAGCATTATTTCTGAAACAGTACACTGTAAAAAAGGATTTGATCATTAAGTTATTGTAACTTTTTTCTTTAAGTTCCTTTCACTTAATATATCAATTTATGCAATTTCTACTTAATTTCACAAGTTGCTATTATTTCAACTCAGCTTTGTAAGCCAGCTCAATGACCTGTAAATTATATTAAGTCAATTTGACTGAACAGTGAGAGTTGTGATTTGTATTGTTCTACAACTTTCCATGACATATTCCTGTGCGGTGAAAATAGTCCCGGTCTTGTAGTTGTTTTCATTGAATGAAGGCATTTAACAGGGACATGCGTTTTTTTGTGAACCACCGGGTTTCGATTCGCCATTATCAAAAGAAGAACTTCAACCTGACAGATTGATGATGACTACGAAAAGCAAAGCGGCAGATGATTACGTTTTTTTTTAAAGTGATGTGACAGTAAACATGACCTACCAAGTAATGGGTGCGCACTGCGCAGATATTTTCGGCTGATGAACCACTGACGGACAGGCAAAGTGAGGTGAGTGGTTGCATATTTAACGGTTTCAGGCAAGACGAAAAGTAGCTAAATGGAGTTAAATCAACACCTAACTGGTGTTTCAATATTTATAAAGACACTTTATTTGAGGGCAGAGTGTGAATGAAAATGTCAGTTCACCAAGCAAACATTACAGGATTATGTTTCACAAAACATTTATAAAATAAATAAGCCTCAAGCATTCACACTCTTATTTATAACGCAGGGCTCGACAGTAACGGTTGCCAGGTTGCCATTTGCAACCATTCAGAAAAATTGTTAACCACTTCTTGGCCTTTGGTTGCCATCAGTGGCAACCACTTTTTAACATGAAGAAATAAGGACAGCAAACAGCTAAATGTGCACCCCAAAATAGATAAATGTTAATTATTTGTTGTATTAAGAGTGATATTTAATTATTGTTGTGACCAGTCGGAACCTGATACTTAAGTCGCACGTGCATTGGTGTGATTACGGAGCCAGAAAGCGATGCACGTTTACTCGCGTGCGCTGTGCGCCGTGTGTTTGTTTTACAAAAAATGGCGAAGCAAATTAAGTTGTTTGACTGTGGGGTAAAAAGTTCGGCCAACCCGTTAACATCTACTACCAAAATAAAAGTGCAAAACGAAACTTTACCATAGAAAAATATTGGCATACAAATATAATCACTTCTATTAAAAGGTAACACATTTTAAATATAGTAAGACATATTAATAAATAATTTACAGCATTAATAAGTAATATCTAATTCTTAAATGTTTTCATTTATTTAACATTAGAAATGTATCCAAGACTTCAATGCTGAAGGGCCAATGGATCTATGGTGGGGATCAGCACAAAGGTCAAGAAAACCCACATTTGAAAGGGAGACAACGGATGACGAAACTAGCGACTTGCTCAATTCATTTGTGAGGGATCTGTGAAGAACATGACAACAGCTGCACTACTGGTGTTTTGTATACCAGCAATTGAGGGTGGACAAGTTTACTACCACTTTAGTTTCAAATAATTGTGTTAATTACTTAAAGTGGACCTATCATGCTATATTTGACAAATATATTGTAGGGCCATACCTATATAAAACATGTCTGTGAAGTTTTTTTTTCAAAATACCAAACAGATCATGCATTTTAGCCATGCCTCATTTCGCTCCATTTGCTCTTTTCCAGCCCGTGTTTTTGCAAGGACTGATTCTGTGACTGTAGCTTTAATGCAAATGAGCTGCAGCTGACCACGCCCCCCTGCAGGAGAGGGGGGCGTGCTCTGATCAGCTGGGCTCTCAGAAGAGGGGGAGGAAAAGAGAGGCTCCGTCCTCCGTGTTTTATTCTTATATGATTATATAGAGGTGGGTGTTTTACAGAGAGAATTACAGCGAGGGAGGGATTGCATTGAATTACATCAGCAGGAGCAAACGCTTGCCTCGGGGAGGGAGAAAAAGAGCCAGAGCGTCCACAGCGGAGAATAAACAGAAGGGCAACCATGGCAACCATGCGCGGGAAGTCTTCTTCGCTGCTTTTGTGGCAGACTACAGCGCCACTTACAGGCCTGGCATATGTACTACAGCGTCTCCAGCGCTCTCGAGCGGCAATGGCCGTGGCCCACCCCCCATTCCCCTGATAGGTGGAAAGTTGCCCATATAGGCGGAGCACCCCGTTTCTGACGTCAGAACAATTTCAAATCTGTATCAGTTTTTATCAGATCCGTTGCAGCCCCGTTTTTAGGGATTTGTGTATGGAGGAAAAGAGAGGGGGTTGTGTTCTCTGACACTTGGTGAGTTCCCTGACACACCGGGGACACATATTGATGTATAAAAGATGTACAAAAGTGCATTTTGCATGATAGGTCCCCTTTAATGTAAAGCATTTGAACATTATTTTGTGTCACATTTTCATTATTAAGTTGATGTATAACTGTATAGTATCTTAATTATTTAAAATATAAGGTGACTAAAAATGGCAACCGTATTTTCAGTTTTGGCAAACAAAAGCTGATGCCTGGTTGCCAGCCTGGCAACCACTTTTAAAAGTTAGCGTTGAGCCCTGTAACGCTTGTGATTTTTTAAAGTTTTGAATGGTAACTGCCTATGTTTGTAGCTTGATTTAGAGAGGTTGTGTTTGTTCGTTCCAGTAATTAGCTGTGTCCCGGCTATCGGTTCAGCTAAATTGGCAAGTTTCGGAGAGGTTGTGTGTATTCGTGCCAGTAATTAGCCGTGTCCTGGCTCTCTGAATTGTAGCTTATTAGCCCCTGCTATGTTCTGAAAGCTGGGCCATTGCTGTGAAGTGGAACTTGCAACTTTTTTCTGGTTCAGCTCGCGCTAAACCTGCCCAGATACAGAGGGGGTGCCTCGCGCCATTGAACGAGTAAAATGCTAAATGTGTTCAGAAATAGCATTCATATTGTGTATGAATGCTATTTTTTACTCTTGAAATGGGGGAAACAAATTTGTATTTCTGTTGTTTTAGAAAATATTTTATAGAAAAGAAAGGAATATATTTAGTTTATTTCATCGAAATACGGTGCGCATAAACCACATGTCCCACAATGCATCTACTTCTGTGACCTGCGCATTGAAGCGTCTTAATATCAGCCGTTTGTAGCAGCGGGAACAGTCCGTGCTGTAACTGTTGTACTTGTGTGCATCTTATTCTTTGTCATGTTCTCAGTTCCTATTACTTTATTAAGGTCTGCTTCATAATGTACTTACACGATTGTTCTCTATTTCAGGTGCAGATTTAGAAGATTTACATTTTGCTGCAACTGGATGAAGTGGACTTGCAAGTTGTGATGCTCATTTTAAGTTTCTTATTAGTATCGTGTGCCTCTACAGTGACATGTTTCCATGTTGTGACATTACATTCTTGAATCTTTATGTGTTTAAAAATAAAAAAGTTTTAGGTTAATGACGAGTGTATTGGTGAATTCATTTTAATATGTTGGAAGTGTGTCACAAAGAAACTTGTACTTTAAGAGGACATTTAATGTTCATTTCAGTATTTAGTTTCTCTACTGGGACATGTCTCCATGCTTTATGCTGTATGAATGCTTGTTGTCTTCTCCTGAGTGTGTACGTCTCTTGTTGCTTTTTGTATTTTTGATGGCACCTTAAAAAAAAGGAGTAGCTCTACTCATCTCATTGTACCTGTATAATGACAATAAAGGATTCTATTCTTCTTTAATGTTCAAAAAGCTCTTTATTTTTCTCATACATCAGCAAACATCTCAAACCCTGTGACAACGCCACCTCATCCTTCACCACCGAACATTGCAACTCCTTCCTCTCGTTTTTCCAAACCAAAATCAGCAACATTTACAGCAATCTGACACCCTCATCAGCACCCCCCACCTCCCCTCCTGGCTCCCCCCCCCCTTCACCTCACAGCCCCTGTCCCACTTCTCCCCTGTGACCCCCATGCAACTGTCCGACTTCATGACTGGAATTAACTCCACCTGCACACTTGCCCCAATGCCCTCCAAATGTGTTAAAGAGACCTGCCATCTTCCAATTCATCGCCACCATCATTAACTCCTCCCTCAGATCTGGATCAGTTACCCCCTCTCTCAAACTGGCTGCTGTCAAACCCATTCTCAAAAGACCTGGACTCAAACCTTACATCGTGTCCAACTTCCGGCCCATCTCAAATCTCCCCTTTCTGTCAAAAATACTTGAACGTGTCATTGCCTCACAACTAAAATCCCACCTCAGCTCCAATTACCTCAGAGTTTCAGTTAGACTTTTTTTTGCCGGTCAACATGTCCGTTAAAGTTGAAATCTTCCGGACAAAATTAGAAAGGTGCCGGTCAAAGGTCTTCTTTGTTATTTATTGAGCTTTAAAACAAATGAATAATGACTCTATATAATCATATAAGAATAAAACACGGAGGACAGAGATCTCTTTTTC